TACGTAACACATATACTTTGCATGTGTTCATCGGGAAGATTATGAAACAAAATGGACGGTGTGTACCACGTGACTTTCGTAAACCAAGGAGCGGAATGTCGCAACTCTTTATATATATGGCTCTGATCTCTGTTATTTGCCATGCATCAAGGACTAGTGTTGTCTAACTAAACATGTGCATAAGTGTGAAGAATTAGATGCTTCAATCGGATTCGAACTCCCAACAGGCGAAGAGGCGAACTGGGTTGACATACAATTAGATCTAATATAAAAGATTGACAATATATATATTCAATATACTTGAAATATAGCTTGAAAAAGTAATCTTGGTCACCTATGGAAGATCATAGGTGGCAAAGATTACTTTTTCAAACTATATTTCAAGTTTATGATGTTTCAAAATGGCATTGTTTAAATAATATTAAGAGAAGTCTCAGTAATTGTAATTAATTAGATAGTTTCAATCTTAACTTACCATATACACTGACTAAAGATTTTAAAGAAATGAATAATATATATAATGAATAAAACTGGTTTGATCATGCTAAAAGGAAGTCGTCACTTAATGACTACATCAGATATAAATCTAAACCAAATTTTGAGTCATACCTCCTTGACAAATGTAACTTTTCAGAGGTGGCTCTTAAATTTAAAGCTCGATCAAACTCGCTTGATTTAGAAGGTCGCAAAGAATCCAGGTCAACTTTAAACACAGGTCTTTGCAAATTATGTAAAAGTGGTTGTAAAGAAACAGTAGATCACTTTGTTTTTGAATGCTGTAAATTTAACAATATTAGAGATACAACTTTCCAGGAACTTAAAAATGAACTTAATGAATACAACCTTGATATATTTTAGGATATGTTTACTTCAAGTTTAGCAAATTTAGACACCATCTTTTCTTTGATGACCTGTTTATCCATAATGAATTTCCCCTTAAATACAATTTGGTTGATTCTCATTACGATGATGCAAGTTTTATCTCCGATAAATATTGTAAAAAATACCTTTATATTGCTTGGATAAAGCGCAATGAGCTGTACAAGAACCTGTAATATTATACTAAATTTGACTTTGATTCTGCCCTGGTCAGTAGAAAAAAATAATAAATAAATAAATAAATAACTAAACGACGTTCCGGTAATTTCACACGACTACTAAGTACAGGTTTTTGTGCTGCTCAGTGTGTTTCATTCAGTTTACTTACTTAATTATAGTTGCAATTTGTTAGATATACAAATAAGGGTAAAACTTTACTGTAAATTGCTTGGTTTTGTTTTTGTTATGCTATTTATCCATTTGTTGTTTTTGACCTGTCTTTTGCTTTCCTTTGTTTATATTGTTAATGTGTGCACAATCAAAGTGATGGGTGCCACTGATCTGAAAGTGAACCCAATAAATCGTATCGTATCGTATCGACAAGAATGATGAAATAGTGGTTGAGAATTATAAAACTGGATAGAGAGAGATTGGTACAATGCATAATGTGGAACTGTTAAGATTTATCGGTAGTGCCAGCGATTGCTGAGCAAGTTGCATTAGGTCTATTTTGTTTTATTATGGATATGGGAAGTCTGGATGAACCAAGGAGTGGGTGATAAAACAACTTTCATTTATAATTTTAACAAACGATGCCAAGACATAGATGAGCAAAATTGGTTTAGCAGTATAAATAACTCAAGTAAATTAAACAATACGCTAAATTCAAACGTAATTTTGGAAATGAATCTTACCTCTTAATGAATATAAAACCGTATTTTTAATTGTTAATCACTTCTTTTTGTATATCAAATCATAGTCTTGAAATTAAAAAGAGGCGCTAAAACAATGTTGATTATAAAATTAGACTTTGTATTTGTCACGATGGTAGCATCGAAGATGAGATTCATTTTCTTTTGTTTTGCAAGTTATATAGTGATTTAAGAAAAACATATCTCCCATAATATTATGTTGCCTTTCCAACAAGTGAAGAATGTTATCAAATGTCCTCGCAAAACAGTAATATAATTAGAAAAGTATGTTTATTTATTTACCACGCATTTAAGAGAAAAGAAAACAAGGAAACATGGGTGTATTAACGAAATTTATATAAGGTATTGTCACAGCACGTTTATTTAATTTGTAATAATTTGTTTTATAAAGGGCCGGAGGCCTGGCATTTATAATAAATAAATAACAGCCTCAATGACTTAGTTGGTTTAGGCGTCTGCATAGGCGTCTGTATTGTTGTTTTTTCGACATCAGAGGTCCCGGGTTCGATTCCCGGTTGGTGTACCTATTTTTCACACTCGCAGATTCTTCTTCTCTAATTCAAAATTCATTTATATAATGTATAGCATTACCACAAGACGATTTAGAGTTTATCCCTATTATAAATCAAGGTAGCCGCTAACACTGTTAAATTATATATAGGTACCATCAAAGAAAGGTAAATACTGTACAGTGTTAAGTTAATTAACAAATAAGGAACTTGATAAACTATGTTTGATACTAGTTATTACATCATGTTCCTGTATTACATTTGAGCACTGTACTCTTATCTATTTTGTTTATATGTACAGTATTTTCCGTGTTTTTTTTGTGCATATTTTATCAATTATTGTGTAGAAGTTTGCTCCTTCTTTAGTTAATTTTTAATTTTTTGTAATTTAAGCTGAACGCACCACTCTTGTGTGTGTCGCCGTTCCAAGTCGTATGTTCTCAAAGTAAATAAAATAAATAAATAAATAGCTAAAATTATGCATGGCGTCAACATACGAAACCACGCCCCTCGGCTGAACCCCTTGTATTTAGCAACTACTGTACCCTGGAAATAAGTCTTCTTCTAGACTTTCGTGAGCTATCCTTGGTGTTTACACCGAATAAATCCAACCCTACACATATTAACGATATCTGAATAATTGTGCTAGCCGGTAATTGTATCAAAAATGATATCCTAGTTGTTTAACATGGTTTACAGCTAGTTTTAGGCGCCATAATTACTTACTGTGTTTGATTGTATTTTTGTTAGTTTAAAATGCCTAGGCCTATACTTTTTGTTGTTTTTACGTTATTTATTCCTAGTATTGTTTGTATTGATTTGTAGACTTACGATAACAAAATGTCTATATTTCGTTTAAACAGTTTTAATAATAATAAAAATTGTATATTACAAGTTAACTTTTTAATTACAATACTTACACATGTAATAATAATTCAACGATCACAAATAAATGTGGATAAAATAGATTAGCTTTACATACTGTCTGAATAATATTATAACAACAACAATAATAATAATAATAATAATAATAATAATAATAATAATAGAAATAACAACAATGATAATAATAATAATAATAATAATAATAATAATAATAGGCCTAATATTAATAATAATAATAATAATAATAATAATAAGGCGCAATAAAAAAAGAAAATAATACTAAAGGAAAGATACTGTAGACTGTGTATTTCTCCCTACCTGTCGTGTTATCGCACCGAACAGTACGTTCCTTAATACTTCCGAAAAAAAGTCTCGTGATTCGGTAGGGAATCGAACCGACGACCTCCAGATAACTAATCAGGTGCGATCGAAATATCAATGTATACCCGCTGTTACTTGGGGACTAGATTTAATTCTAGCCACGTCTAAGAGCAATTTCGGTGGTCTAGTGGTTATCTGGAGGTCCTGGACTAGATTCCTTCACAAACCACTGGTGAGATTTTTTTTTTCGAAAGTATTTTGGAAGGTACTGAGCATTTAGTACCGGTACGATAACACATCAAGTAGGACAAAACATCATTCCTATTGAAATACTTTTTATCCTTATTCGAAATAATAAAACTATTGGAATATGCCACAGCATAATATGCTTACTACACTTTACAACCGTGTCGAAATATTATGTACAAATATTTTAATAACGAATTAATGGAATAATTATAAAAATTATAAAAAGAAAACATCAGTTATTTATACTGATTGGAGCATGTTTCCGAATTTTTTGATATACACATTCAGGAGGAAAATAAAAAATATTCTACATGCAAAAGTAGCATAAAAATATAACAATCCTCATAACAAAATCTGGAATGCTATAAAACCAGTGTGACATAATAATAATAATAATAATAATAATAAGATTTATTAAGCGCACATCTCCACTAAAGTGCTCAAGGCGCTTGTGAAAACCATGAAAAAGCTTATCCTTTTAAACTAAAGGCTACCAGAAAAACGACCATAACCCACATCACTGCTTCCGTTTACCAGCAATTTAAGGTGCAAAGACCGGCTAGTACATGACTCACAGGTGTTCTCAGTTTTGTGGGCATCTAACTAAACAAATTAAAAAACAAAAAACAAAAAAAAATCAATTCACAATAAATTAATTTCCTTGAGCAACAAAAAATAGATGTGTTTTCAGAGCACGTTTGAACAAAGCAGTCGACGAACTTGATCTTATTTCAAGAGGTAATCTGTTCCACAAACGGGGGGCCACAACTACAAAAGATCTGTCACCCCATGACCTCATAAACCTGGGCTCAACCAGCAATCGTCTATCACCTGAACGAAGATTTCGTGATGGCACATGCCACACCAAGAGACTACGTAAATACTCTGGACCTTGGTCAAATTTCCTCGTCTCAGTTATAATTCTGGCGGATCTGTTCTGCAGCAACTGGAGACGGTGTAAAGAACTCTTCGGCAAGCCAATAAAAAGGGAATTTCCAAAATCGAGACATGAAGTGACGAATGCATGTATAATTTGCTCCGTAGCATCTCTTGAGAGGTACTTCCTAATTCGCTTTATATTACATATGGATATAAAAATGCTCAATAGAATATTAGTAGGCCGCCTGAACATTGATCCAAGTGTAAACGAATGCACGCTTAATTTGAAAAGTGGATAATAAATTCCATATAGAGGCATACTTCCCTCAGCGAAAACTAAAACAATGCTATACATGCAGTAAACCACCAATATATATATTATATATTATAAAATATATATACATATTGACATATTTTCATACAAGACGATTGTTTTAAAGCATGTTTCGAGAAGCATTCCTTATCATTTTGTAATAATTTGTTTTGTTTGGATTTCCGGTAGTGAAGTATTGTCACCATACCGTATTAGACTATATTCATTGACATTCCTCGGAGTTACCACACTCATATCTTAAGAGTGAAGAAGATGGCCAAAACTAAACTTTAGAGGCACGCCTCTATGAATAAGCCAAATGATTTATTTATTAAATTTGGAATGCTACTGGATTAATTAATGTCCTAGGACAACGTTCATAATATTGAGCCCAAATGATGTGGTATTTTACGTAAAAGTTCCCAGTACAGGGGCGGATCCAGAATTTTTCAAAGGGGTGGGGGGAACAACAGTTTCAGAATAGATAATTGAGTAGCACATAACATTAATACGCATTGAATCTTTAAAAATTTAGTGGCAAAAATATAATCTAAAAATCAAAGATTGTGGAGTTGAGTGTCAGAGCCTACAGGTTCGAATCCCGCCAGAGACATCTTTCAAACAACTGAACAACTTTTCGCTTAAGGGCTATGTTTGATACCATAACATCTTATGTTAAAGTAGAGGGGAAGGAATGTTGATTGTGTGATAATAAAAAGACTGACCCACACAAAACACAATTCAAAAAACGTGTGAAACAAAGTAATTAACTACACAATAGGCATCTACACTCATTGACCACTCAGAAATTGAAGGGATTCAAAAAGAACTGGACATTCACAAACATTACTTACGGTACACTGTACCTATCTATAATGCACAACTTGCTTTTGACTCATTTTCCGAAGGTTCAATTACATTCAGTATGACATTAATAATACCGGTAACTTCCCAGCTAACAATATTACGTTATAAGAACGTTATAATAACGTTACAGTTTGGTGATAAGAGCGTTGTTTTGTAGAACCAATGTAAGTAATTATAACCTAATTTCACAACGTCACAACGTTTGAACGTTCTTACAACGTTGTGTGAACGTTATTTTGTGACATACTTAACCACAACGTTCCTATGGCACTTTCTTATACTACAATCACGTGGAGCTAATTGCCGTACACCTTCATACAAAATGTTTTCACTTTCTAAGATAAATGTTATTTGGTTTTGTAAAGAAAACCCTGAATACCAATGAGAGTGCTAAGTACCTGGACGACCAGGTCTCATAACTTCAGCAGATTTATTAACATATATAGGGTCTCTAGTTGTTTCAGTCAGGTCAACGTAAACATTTTTTTGAACAGGTAGTGGAAATGTTTCCAGTGGTCGCTCTATTGGGGTAGGTGGTGTTTCATCGCTTTGTTCAATCGACTGTTCTTGTTCGTTTGTATTGAAACTCGCCTCGCTAACGTTGACATCAGTTGGTTCTAACTCTTTACCTAGACAATCGTTGGTGAGACCATTTTGAGTGTCGTCTGTTGCTGGGAGATTAAGTTTAGGTCGTGTACTGCATTCATACTATGGAAAAGCAAACGATCAGTTACGGTACTGGTAAGTAATATTGAAAGATAAAAAATAAATGAAAGTTTTCCAATATAATGGGTAACGAGATGAAAAGAACTGGCCAACGCCCCCACAATGTCATGGATACTACATTCGTTATGTTAATCTCTTTTGATTACTTTATGATGCAATAGCGATAGCAATAGTAATATTATATTCTGTTTAATTTTTCTATTTTCAATTAATTTATGCTATGTAATAGCAATAGCAATCCTTACAAAGGGATTAGGGATTGTTGTGTAGGCGATATATTGCCAAAAGCGAATTTATAGCTATCCTACTTATAGGTGGCATTCCTTTCACAAGAGGAGCATATACTTATATATAAGTATATATATATAAGTACCTGATGATGACCTATGGTCGAAAGTACTAGTACAATAAATATTTTATTTTTGAGACAGATACAGAACTTTGTTTGACTTATA